CAGTAAGGTGAAGAGAAATAAAGTTACTAATAAAATCCCAAGTAAGCAAAAAAGTTTTAAAGATCTAAGGGGTAGCCCTGGCTGGTGTGGTTCAGTGGACTGAGTGCTGGCCTGTGAACCAAAAGGTCACTGGTTTGATTCCCAGTCAGGGCACATGCCTGGGTTGTGTGCCTTTCCTCCTTTCCTCCCTCCCTTCCTCTCTAAAAATAAATAAATAAAATCATTTAAAAAAAATATCTATGGAGGAAAAAAAAAGGCAAGAGACTAGATGGTCAGTGAGAAGAGTGAGAATCAAGGTATAAACAATACTATTGAAACACAGAAAGCCCTAGAATTCCTGAGAAATCCTATCTTTTTTACAATGAACTTTGCTCCCTCTGGTGGTCACAAGAGGTTTTACCAGGTGTGAGTATAAATGGAGGTAGAGCAGTGATTTTCAACCTTTTTCATCCCCCAGCACACATAACCTTCTAAAATTCTGAGGCGCACCAAAAAATACATTTTGCCAATCTGACAAAAAAATAGGTATAATTTTGATTGATTTACAAAAAATAATACTTACCTACCCTTTTTGCTCCAAAGTGACTTTTTAAGAAGTCAGGTGCCTACACTTGTATATAAGGATTTATGGTATCAAAAATTAACCAAGCAGAGGCAATCTTATTATGCAATATAACCAATAAGGTGCAACTCTATTATATGACCTGTATATTTATGGTTCAAGACAGGGCAGTCACAACATATGGCTACTGTTGTATTGGTTGTCATCATATTTTTTTTTATTTGATAGTCTAAGGGAAAAGCAGTCAGTGCCCCTGACTAAACAGTCAGATATTGCATATTTAAAAATTCTTGTGGCAAGCCAGCTGAAAATCACTGAGGTAGAGGGCAAACAGAAATCAAATTGCAGGAACTATCCTGATTAACATTCATCTGTATGTCAGACAAATAAATGTTCAACTTACAAAAAACATTTCTTCAAAAGAAAGAATTTAGTGTTACAGAGGTAGCAATGCAGAATTACAGAAACACTCACACCAGACTAACAGACACAAGGAGCAGAGCGGTGTTTCCCAGGGGGCTGCGGCGAGAGGGGGCGGGGGGCGGGGGGAAGGAGAGGGGAAACCCTTGGTCCCTGTCACAAACTTCCAGCTCTGAGACAAGTTCTGGGGATCTAATGTGCAGCATGGTGATTACACTTAATAATCTTTTTATATACTTGTCAGTTGCTAAAAGAATAGATCTTAAATATTCTCAGCATAAAAAAGGGAATAGTAATTATGTGACATAATAGAGCTATTAGCTGAGGTGGTAATCATTTTGCAATTTATATCAAATCAAATCAACATGTTGTGCACCTTAAACTTACACAGTGCTATATGTCGGTCATATCTCAGTAAAGCCGAAGGGGAGAAAAGTTAAAATGAGGTCTAGGGGGAGTCCTAAACCCCGTGACTGGTGCCTATAGGAAAGAAGGAGACGGAGGACTGGATACAGAGAGACGGGAAAGGCGGCGGAGTGAAGGCAGAGGCAGAGGCTGGAGTTACCCCCCCCACAAGCTAAGGAATACCTGAGGCCACCAGAGGCGGGTCCAGGCAAAGAGGGATTCTTCCCTAGAGACTTTGAAGAGAGCATGGGTCTGCTAGGACTCGATTTCAGACCTTGAGCTTCCAGGACTCCGAGAGAACAAATTTCTGTTCTTTTAAACTACAAAATGCCAGTTTGTAATTCTTTGCTATGGCAGTTGTAGGAAACTAATACTGCCTGAGACATCTTGTGCCAGAAAGGAAATGCCCAAAGAATGATGGTTGATATTTCAAAAGGACACGGAAGCCATCGTGATGGGGTTCCCAGTGGCCAAATAAATAACGACGGTAATGGGTAACAACCCACGGACTAAAATAAAAATCCATGAATACATACTGATACAAATACATGAGTGTTGGGAGGGGCAATAAGCCATGGCCCCCGAGTGTCCCCACGCCTCCTCGTTCAGTATGGCAGGCTCCACCATCTTCTACCTGAGCCTCGCTCAGGGCTGTGTGTGCAGCGGGCCACCTTCAGGGGCGAGGTAACGTCTTCCCAACCCCTGACAAAGAACAGGCTTGCTTCCATCTGCTACAAAAGTGGTGACTTCCCACAGCTCAGCGCTCCTTCCCTAGAGCACAACCCACTGCATATGCAGGAATCTATTGAGGCCCACCTGCGGCATCCCCAGGGGACCTGGGTTGGGACGGGAGAAGCCGATGCAAATCAAATGAGGCTCGTGTGGTGTGCCATGCCATGAATAATAAAGTCTTTTGGCTCAGACCCAACAGTCTTGTACCTCTGTCAGCATCTAAGAAACAGTAAGAGGCTAACTTATTAGCTTGCGAGTAGGGTACAGTCCTAGACCTTTCCCAGTTCTTGACAATGAATAAATAAATAAAATGGGGGAGAACGGAAAGCCCATCCTTACAGTGGAATGGCAAATAATAAATGTAGAAAAAATTATGGAGTTAGAAAATCATTAATGGTTATTAAAACTAGAGGGTGAAATCTGATTAGGGAAAGGATACTTACATAGGCTCAGCGTACCTCCCCAGAAATTACTCACTAATTACAAAGGGAAAATAGGAACTTTACAGGAGAGAAATCTGGCAGAATCCACCTTAGGCAAGTGATCAAAGCTAATATAAGCAATACTAGGACAAAGAGACATCATGTTTCTCCTGGTGCAATGTACTAAGAGGGACACAATTCTGTGGTATTCCCCCTAAAAAAATGTATAATCTAAATCTAATTATGAAGAAACATTAAACCCAATATAAGGGACATTCTACAAAACAACTGGCCTATATTCTTCAAAAATGTCATGATCAAGAAAGAAAAAGTTGAAAAACTGCTCCAGATTCAAGGAGATTCCAGAGACATGACCACTAGAGGCGATGCATGATCTTAGATTGGATGAGGAATCAGAATTTTGAAAAATAACTACAAAGGGCATTTTTTAGATAAATGATAGATTTGAATATAAACTATGGGTTTGGCAATAATATTGCATCCATGTTAACATTCCTGATTTTAGGAAAGAGAACTGTTGTACACTGTTGGTGGGAATGTAACTGGCAGAGCCATGACAGGAAACAGTATGGAGGTTCCTCAAAAAACCAAACAGAAATCCCATATGATGCAGCAACCCCACTTCTGCGTATGCATCTAAGGGGAATGTAATCAGGTCTCAAAGAGATACCTGCATCCCATGTTCACTGCACCATGGTTCACAACAGCCAAGAAACAGAAACCACCGAAGCATGCATCTATGGATGAGTGGGTAAATAAGACATAATTTATATGTACAACGGAGTATTACTCAGAAATGTGAAAAGGTAAATCCTGCCGTTTGTGACAACATGGATAAACGGGAGGACATTATGGTAAGTGACACAAGCCAAAGTGTTGTATGATCATACTTACGTGTGGATTCTAAGACAATGAAAAAGTCAAGCTCATAGAAGCAAAGAGTGAAATGATGTTTACCAGGGGATGGGAAGACGTTAGTAAAAGGGCACAAAGTTGCAGATATGTAGGATGAGTAAGGATAGAGATCTAAGCTGTACTATGCTAGAAATATGCTGAAAGGGTAAATATCAGATGCTCTTATCACAAAAAATATTAAGCAATGTCCTGCAGAGACTCTGAGCCCAGGGGTTCTTTAAATCAAAAAATTTCCAAAGATTTCATGACAAAAAAAAAAAATACAGAAAAAAAAATCCCCAATTTTGATAATTATGGTGTCATTGTATAAGAGAAGATCCCTGTTCTTAGGAAAAATTGAAGCATTTAGTGGTAAAGAAACATGGTATTACCAACTTATCTAAAAAGACTCAGAAAAAATTTATTTATATGTATACATATATGTGTGTGTATGAACAGAGTATGCTAAAGCACACAAAAAACAATTGGTGTTTCTAGATAAAAGCCACCCAGAAGTTCCTCGTATTATCCTTGAAACTTAAAAAATATGTATGTCAAGTAAATATCAGTTAATAATAATGTATTGTTATTACTTATTACTTAATAATAATATATATTTAAAATTCGCTGAGAATACATAACCGTTAAGGTTCCTTACTACTCTGACATTTTAAGATTTCATGATTAATAAAACAAAACTCCTTCATACTAGTAATTAATAGCAAGAAATAACTTAATTATTATCAAAAAGAATTGAAAATTACTGAATTCATTCACTGCCGAAAAGTGTGGTTTAAATATTTTTACTGAAAAGACATACATTCAATTTGTACTTTAACATGGTACTGATCCAGCCTTTATCCCTCTGAAACACCTATCAAACATGGTTTTAAAAAATGTAAGTAAAGTAGCAACCCCACCTTTATTAAATTTCATAGATGTTCTCCAATAAAAGTATACAAGAAGAAAAAGAGTACATTTAAGTGAACCATATCCAATGCCCCCAACGTCCAAAGTATCTCTGCTTCCACCGGACTCCCTAGACTTGGTTGTTACTGTTTCGTGCTATTAATGACATCCGGTGTGTTTCATCTTCTCTAGGATACTCTGAACCACATCAAGGCAGGAGCACGTATTGTCCATAGTTTATTCCTAGCAATAAGCATTTTGTACTTGCACAGAAGGGGCTCATTAAAAAAACCCAAGAGATACCTTCTATTTCTTAAGATAGTAATGATGATCTGATGTTAAAGTCTTTCAAATTCTGAAATAAATTGAGTGTTTACATGGTTGAAATTATTGTTATGCTTTTAAAAAGTGTCTATAATTCAGAGATGTTTTCAGTATTGGTGGCTGGCTGGTTATGTTAATGTTTAAGCAATAGTATTTTTATGCAGATAAATATTGTAGTAAGTTTAGAATCTTTTGATTTGAGAAAAGAAAACTTAAGAACGTTACTTAAGCCTAAGTTTAGATTTAAACATATACTTGAGAGAAAGAAGATGTGTTTTGGGGAAGTACCATTTATAATCACCAAGTCTTACCTGAGGAGTCCACGCTGGGTCTAACTTTCTGACTGCCGCTATATACTCCTGCATTGCCTGGCTTGGGCTTGAACCACCGAGTGCTCTCCACGCTTCCCTACAGGACAGAATATCCAAAATGACCCATCATTAACTATGTAAGTAGCACAAATAGCATGTCTCTTTTTATTTAAAAAAACTGACATACCCATTTTACGGATCTGGGGATATGGATACAATATGCCACAGAGGAGCAGCCCTCACCTTTTGCATTCACACTGATGTATAGCAACACAGGTCTTATCACCCTAGCACCTGAGGAGCCTTTTAGACAGTTTTTTCCTAACCACTCTCTGCCATGAAACTTTAGTAATCCGGGTATATTGCATATCTGTTGAATTCTGGAAGACCACAAACCATTATAATAGCTAAGATTTTATACTTCCCCAAACCAGCTTGCCCCCGCATTGAAAATGCCTGATCCACAGACCAATAAAAGTAATTCCTATCTTGTGAATTAACTGTGCTTATAGCATTTAGGGAACATGGAAACTAACCACCCCAGAAAACAACATCCCCTGGAAAAATGCCTGACTCCTCATGTAAGGTTTGAGAAATCTGCTTCCCCCTCTGCTCCCTTCACGCCTATAGGCTGCTAGCAGTGGGTCCTGAGGTTGCAGGCAGGGACTTCAAAGGCGAGGGCTCATGCAGACAGAAGTAAGAACACAGGTGGGTAAGAAGGCAGGGACTTCCTGCAGTATAAACACCAAGAGGAACATTTCAGTCTTCTTTTCTGCAAGCTGCCAGGACAAGGTCCTTCTGGTTTTCCCTACCAAATTTACTTCCAACCAGGATGGAGACCCACGGATCCCTTGTGAACCAGAACTCAGTCCCACAGGTTCTTAACTATCTTTCTGTTTCCACGATGAATATAACAACTTTTTGAGGATTTTTTATTAATTTAACCTTTACAGTACTTTCTCCATTACCATTTAGTCCCCTTTAACCCCTCTCCCTCTGGCAATGAGGATTTCTAAATTTATTTTTACTGAATCTTTTGAGAGTTCCTTGTAGACATCCTAACGTTTTAGCCCCAAATATATCAGCATATATCAAATGGAGGAACTTTAACATCAATACAATCAGATTTCCCTGATTTGCCAGTAATTTCCTTCATAGCTTTCTTTTCCCAGACCAGGAGCCAATCAAGATTCATACATATGATAGAGCTTCATACATCTTCAGCCTTTTTTGTCTTCCATGATACTGATATTTCTAGGAGTTCAAACCAGTTGTTTTATAAAACACCCCTCAATTTGGATTTGTCTGTTTCCTCACCTAAAATGCTCATGCCAAAAACGATCAATCATGAGTAGAATCAGGTTAAATATTTTGCCAGGAGCAACACACGGGCGCCGCGTCCTTTCCAACGCATCCCGTCAGAGGGCACACGGTCATCAGTGCGCCCACCATCAACGGTAGGATGGAGGACCTACTGAAGGCCGTTTTCTTCTTTGTAACTAACAAGTAAATTGTGGGTCAGCTTGAATACATATTGCTCCCCAGTAGTTTTTCACCTAATGGCTTTAGCATGCAATTTAGATTCTTGTGTGAATTATGACAGTGGTTGTAAAATCTAAACTTTTTTGAATTGCTAAACGCAATAAAAAAAATAGGCAAGTAGAGGGGAAAATAACGAACTTATAAAATTTCATAAATGAAAACAAAAAACTCATCATAAAAGTTATATCAGGTATTCTCTACAACAGTGAGAAACAGCAGTCGGAGAACTGTTCGCTGTCACTGGCAAAGAATCCCAGGGCGCGAAGGAAAATCACAGCACTGCTCCCTCCACGGGGAGTGTTCTAGACACACAAACCAGCCAGCGGACGCTAACGGCGTGCTGCGTGCTGAAACCGGTTTACACTCGGCCTCGAGCCCGGCGCCCGCTCACGGCCGGGTGGCAGGCAGCTCACACTCAGGCAGCGTGTCCGCGGACGCATTTTGAGCAGCACTGCTCTAGGATGTAGAGTTAGAATCCATTTTTAGCGCTTCTCTCTACAACCACATTTCATTTTTTTCAAACTTCTATACATTGAATTCCAGGGCTCATGCTTCCAAGTCCTTCCTGCTATAACTAAGGTACTCTAGTGTATGAAATTTCTGTTTTTACACTTAGACATTTCCTCCTTCCATTTAGTAAGAGGAAATAAGGGCCCCTATGGTAAGAGAGAACCTCTGAATTATAAGTTTAAAAAAAAAATGGTGAGGGTATAACCTTCTTATGTATTCAGGAAAGAAGTGAACTCAGCATCTGGTTTGTTTGTTTGTTTTGTCCTTCTGCCCCAGAGGTTACCGTCAGCACTTCCTCTTCACTGTGGTGGGCAGGGCAAGAAACAAGACCTCTAGAGATGAAATGAAACTGGGGCAGAGGAGAAGAGTAAGAAATGATGATATACCCTGCTCTTCTCCCTTCTCAGCCTCCTGGACTTCTTCCAAAGATCCCTCCAGAGGGAGAACCGGCGACTGCGTGATGGGAGAGGAAAATCTCCAGCAACAGCTCCTACGGTCAGTCTCTAAGAAGCTACATTTTATATAAGGAACACATGCCTGCTGTGAACTACTTACAAACCAACATCGTGGCACAAGATTCCCTTAGGAGACTTAGCTAAAATCGGATTCTTTTAATCTCTCACACAATTATCTGCTTTTAGTAGTCTACAGCAGAGAGATTAAAATAAAAATAATTCTTTAATCTGCTCACCACTTTCTAATTCCTAAACTCCTAAACCATGTCCAACAACCTCAATAGATTCCAAGAATTTCTTACCATTTTTGCTTTCCTTCAAAATCAAAGAAGCTTGGTTTGGGAGTATTGCAATTTCCAACTTTGACCTAAATGAAGGGAGAGAAATCAAGAACTTATTTTTCAAAGAGTAACCAGAAAAAACTTTTTATTTTCAAATTTACTATGTGTACTTAGAAGCTACAGGTTAGGAAATATTTGCATCTGTGTAGAATAACAAAATTTAACATTCTTTGCAAAAGCAAGCAAAAAAACCTAAACTTTAAATCCAAGCTCATTTTTGCTTACTGCATAAAACATTATCTAATCTTATAATACATTAAAAAATATAGGTGACAGACAGCTCCATTCCTAAATTAACAAATTATATATATGGCAAATTATAAATATAGAGTATGCAATCCTAATTACCACTTATAATACAGAATTTTAAAACATGCAATAAACTTTAAAGTACAGTTTATCACAATTCATAATATTTATTTATGCTGATGATCATAGCACTATCAGCATTTTATCTCTCCCAAATTCCAGGATAAAACACTATTTTTAAAGTGCCCTATTATGAAACTAATCAATATAAATTTACATGTTGAAAGCTGTGCAAAAAATTTCAACGGTTTCTCAATAATATAAATTTTATCTATTCCACAATAATCTTTTCTTGATCGCGGTCAATGCTTATTTTTAATCCAGTTAAACTACACAGTAATTAGGTTCATCGTGAATAAGCATAAGTGAAATTGACACAAGTACAGAATTCACTATCCAGCCCAATTCCCACTGCCGGAAGCAATCTCCCTTTCTGATGACCTCTCTTAGCACTTACTCTGTATAATACAATCTGTGATAGCATTTTTCACTTTTACTTTGTGTTGGAAAGTTTCATGTAAAGTCTCATCTATTAGAATACAGCCTGTAAGAAACCATTCTTAACTCAATCAATGTACCTAATATAGAGCCTAACTTAGGTAGTAAGAAATGCTTGTTGAATACAGAATGAATGTATTAGGCATGTGTTCAACACAGCTACTTTCCCCTAATGCTAAATACCCCAATCTGACCCCAAGCCACCTATTACTCTTGTACACTCGAATTTTCCTAAGGTCAAAATGACGGTCTACTTGCTAATCAGATTGGTCTACTCACTGCCTTAGGGATTTTGATGCTGAGTTTTGCTCAGTGTAATTCCCCTCACCAGAAATGCCTTCTCTTCTACCCTTAGCTTTTCAAAATACAACTCCTACTCAAGATTCTAAGAACCCTTTCAATCCACAATGATCTCATCCATCTCTGAAATCGTAACAGTTATCATCTCTATCATTTGCTTACTAATGCATCACAATTAATCTGGTTGTTACCAAAACATACACTTACACAGGAGCAGCCCTGTGGTGATGGGACCCTGGGGAGGTGAGGCGGCAGCAGCTGCATTTGTTGCACCAAAGCTAAGTCATGTCACATGAGCCACACAGCAATTCCATTAGGTTTGCTATTACAAACTCCTTTAACAAATGAGTACAGAGAAGCTGAGGAGGGTTGTGGCAGTTCACACATTAGTAAATCCTAATCAGTAGCAGGATGTGAACCCAGAATTTACTGACTCCAAAGCCCAATATTCCTTTACTACAACATTCCATTTTACATGTTACACATTTCTGACATCTCTAAAATCACCTGAAGTATTGGATTGATAGAAATATGAAATAAGATTAACTACTGGACTTCATAACAATAGCTGTTATTACTATTTTTGTTTTTTACCCAGATACCAGCCAGGGGCAGAAACAAATACCAATATCTATTCTCCATATGTCCTATGGAAATAAATCTCAGCCAGACACACGGTCGCCCAGATAACCATTACACATAGCCATGCAACTTCTGCCCAGGAACAGGGGTCGAAGTGATATAAATACCTTTCCTGAAGAGGAAGGGGGGCGCGGGTAGGGCTCGTCCTCCCTTTCCCTTTGCCCTGCCTATCTATCACACGCACGTGACGAGGGCGGCCGTCTCTGGCCACGGCAGCGGGGTCTGAGGGCAGCAGTTCTCAAGCTTTTTGGTCTCATGACCATTTTAGAAACTGAGGGCCCCAAATAGCTTTTGTTTATATCTTCTGATGTTTATCAAATTAAAAATTAAAAGACATTTTAAATATATATTAATTCACTTAGAAATCATAAACTCAGGACATGTTAAGATAAATAACAAAATTTAAAAAAAATAACCACATAGTCTAAAGCAAAAAAAGAAATTAGTGAAAAAAGTGACATTGTTTTACATTTTGCAAATCTCTTTAATGGCTGCCTTAATATAGTCTCAGCAATCTATTTGTGCATTCAATCTACTGTAATATGTTGCTTTAGTTGAAGTACATGAAGAAAATTTCAGCTTCACACAGATATGCTGTTAGAAAAGGAAGAGGTATTTTAGTAACATTTTCAGATAATTGTGGATATTCTTTGTTGATACCACACCAAAATTCAATTAGTGGCAGTTTCTTTAAGGTTACTTGCAATCTGTAATCTGAAGTCATATCAATGAATTTTTCATACTGTTACATGAAAATCCATTCATCTGACTTGCACTTTAAAAGGTGTTTACCCACACATAATTTGAAACATTATCCTATACAATATTTGGGAAACGCGGTTACTGAGTTATGCAAACCTTCCAAATGTTGACACATTTCAAATAGCAAAAGTTTACAATCATTAAAATCACCACTACTCTCATCAAAAAAGTAAAAATTAGTATTAGGAAGCTGTCAAGCTTATGTGGCAGAGTTTCCAAACTCCTAATTTTCATTTGAAAGCTCAAATGTTATCATCAGCAACAAATACTCTCGGTTGTTTTCTTTAAAGTGGTGAGCTCACTTCATTCATTTTCAAGAAACTCTCTGCTAAATACTCAAATTTGAATAAGCATAGCTTATCTGTGAGTTGTTCCACTAAGTAAAAATGATGTTTAATTAAAAAAAAGTGGATAGCTCAGCTTGGAACTCAAAAAGTTACACACATGCTTTTCCTCGAAATAGCCCCATAACCCCGTGTGCGGCAGCTGTGCTTGGTTCGCACCCCCATTCCATCACACACGGCACTAGAGGGACTTGCACTCAACAGCTCATATTTCATAAAGATCAATAATTTTTACTGCTTCAACTAAGACATTCTTAAGTGACACCGGCCTTTTTTTTTTTTTTTTACTCTGAGTGCATGGTAGCAAAGAAATATGACTACTGGCATACTTGAATGCCAGCGCCTTGATTCACGCTAATACTTCAGTAGTTTTACTGAACATGACAACACGGAAAAAAGGCAAATAGTGTCTTAGTATTACTATAAAAGTAGTTTGACCTTACAGATCCCCTGAGAAAGTCTCAGGCATTCTCTGTGAGCCACAGCCCATCATTTGCGAACTGGTGCCCTGGGGGATGGCTGAGCTACAAGACAGAAGACAGAGCCCTGGATGACCTCAGAAAGCAGAGCAACCCCGCCAGTCCTAGGTCGCCCACCTCCAGACCATTGTGTGAGCTGAAAATAACCGTCCAGCAGCTGACCCGTGTCCCGACTGACACAGAGCGTTTGTGTTCCCAAATTCAAAGAACAGTTCCCGATCCAGAAAAGACTGAGGAAATAAAACTGTCGGGTATTAGGACATCATGAGGAACCATTTCCAAATCATTAGATAATGAAGCATAAGCTATAAAGCAGTTATAAAATGTACCACTTTAACAGAGCATCCAAACGGTTCCCTCTGATACACAGTATATGATATATCCAGCACCCTTGAAACAGTGTATTTCAGCAAAGGTTATCAATAGCAAATGCCAGTAAACCAAGTGGGCCCAGGTTAAAGCAGAAGGGCATGAGTAGTCTAACTTGCACGAGTGCTGAAGGTTCCTATACCATGACTCCAAAAGGGGTTTGAAATTTTCATTGTCCTATTGTTTTCAGAGGTATCAATTAGTTACCTTTTGCGGGGAGGATGTAGAGTAATGGGGGGGGGGCACGCCCACGGGGCGGGGAATCCCCTTAATTGGTGTGATCTTTTTGAAATTTCAATGAAAGGTGATTTGGGAGCCATAAGCTTATCTGAGACTAAAAGAGCAATTAGGTAAATTCAGGGCTCTGCCCAAGAAGAAAACATTCATTTCTTAACTTATTTTTATCACCTTTTTGCTGACAACCTTACCTCATTCAGCCAAAAAAAAAACCCAAAAACAAAAAAACAACAAACAAACAAAAATAGGTGTTATTCTGAATACAAATGAAATTATTTTATGAGCAATTGTGATCCACCATGAAGGAATTATATTGGACTTCAACTTTATTATTCTATTAAAGATGCCATTTTTAACACTGTACCAGGTTTTTGTTAAAAGATATCTAGAAGATACTGATGAAAACTGTGTCTGATGTTATATCTAAGTAAACATAATCTTAATCTCTAATAACGAAGAATTTTATTTTCCAGATACAGAGTATCTCTAGACAGCCTACTGTCAAGTTCTTGAAAGGATGAGGGACATGCCTCTTCCAGACTATCCGGATGAAGTGAGTATACCTGAGACAGAGTGGTTGACAGGTGACTGTAATTCACTGATAACTTAAACATCAGATCTTTAAAAATGATGACACTAATACCAATAATAAGAAATATGTCCTAGAAAGAATGTTCTCTAGGGGATTTGGAGAAAATTAATCTTATATGTCTCAGAGAATCATCAGTCAGATATGCTACAGGTCCTAGCACAATGCTCAGTAAATTCTTATTAAATAATTGAACGTCTCATTTTAATGTTACTAGGACAGGGTAAATTACCAAAAAGAAAACAAATACCCAGAACTTTTGCAAAAAAGCAAATTCCAAGGCCAATTGAGGGGCAATTTTCACTCAACACTATGATTTATAACATTTGTTTCTACAACTGTATCTTTCAGGGCAAACTGATATTCATCAATATGTTAAAAAAAAGGCTCATCTCTATTCAGTATATTGAGTTGAAGAATACAGAAAGAACCCCAGATATATTTATTAAAAAAAAAAAAGACTATGGGGAAAATAGACACCAAGAGGCAAAAGAAGAGTTTTTTAAAATGTAATAAAATAAAATTGGCTATTACCCAGCACTTCATTGTTTCCAGTGTTATAAGGAGCTGGAGTTTTCCTGAATTGTTAACTCTGGTCAGAGAATTTTCAGTGTTTAAATCTAGACTCCTCAAGTAACTCTATAAGTCTCTTGAAGGCAAGTATCATGATGCTCTTGCTTCTTTGCATTCCCTAGAGGCATAACACCAAAGCATTTTGCACATAAAAGCTGCTGAACAAGTATTTGTTGATTATGGTAAAGCAATTAGTTTTTCCTTCTGGTACTTAACCCAATGACTCTTTGACAAATTAGATACGTCTTCTATGACATAATTATTATTATTATTATTTCCACATTTCCAAGTAAAGTTCGGAGCCCTACAGTCAGGAGCTACAAGCTAGTTCTACTTCTGACTGACTGCTCTGCATGGCCCCAGGCAAGTTATCTACTCCCCTTGGGAGTCTCTTTCCTTTTCCCTAAAGAAGGGCATTGTTTCGTCTGGTGTTGTGCAGTTCTAGAATTTTTATAATTTTATCCGACAGATGCAAAGTTAAACCCTAAGGTATTTAGGCTTTAAAAAAAATCACAATAATAAAAGTAATAATACTTTATTTTGTATTGCATCACCCTTTTTAGTATAATCATATCATTCTCTTGAATCTCAATTTTTTTAAAAATTATGAAATCCATATGACCCTTTGGCAAGAGTGAATGACAAATCTTATTTTGTCATCCTCATTTTGTAAAGGGTCTAAAGCTGGTAAAAGCACAAGTGCAAGGTCACTGAGCAAGTCAGAGAAGACAGAAAAACTCATTCGGTGTCCAGCTAATCATCACTCCTAGGATAGCAGACAGGTAGGTCCTTTCCGTGTCCGGACCGATGCTAATCTTTAAGGGATGATGAAAAAAAACAAACGAAAAAGAACCCACACACACTTCACCGCTAGCCTTTTACCAAGCACGTTTACTACCAGCTTTTTATGGAAAAGAGAAGGTCTCTTGTCGCTCCCCGGCATCCACTCCTTCCCTGCGACTTTACCTGCTTGTACCTGGCATACAGGTAGAGGAGCTGCTCCCTGCTGGCCACGTGAATCAAGCCCTGGAGGTGCGCTGCAGCCTTCTCAAACAGCTCAGTCAGGCTCCTGGACGCCTCCGTCTCGGGGCTCTGGCGCGATTCCACATCCCCGGAGTCGTCCCCCGAGCTCAGCTCCCCGCCGCTGTCGCCCGTGGTGGTCCCCGCGGACAGGAATGGAGAGGCCATGTGTCCTTGCCCAGTGCAAACCTCTGTGCCGCTCTGTTTTCTTCAGATTGGGTGTAACCTGCTCGTGGGCCTGGTCGACCAGACTAGTTAAGAGTCCGAGCTGGGCTCGGGTCCCAGCTCACTTACTCCGCTCTCCTTCCCTAACTCCGCCTCCCTCCCCTTCTCTTCCGGGGCGTGCGAGGGACGCTCCGCTACCCGCCGCAGTTCTTGCCGGTGGACCTGCTCTCTTCTGCCTTCCTGGGGATAACCTCACGGTCCGGGTGGCCTCGGAGAAGCTCAGCCAGGTGGTGGTCCTGGGAAGGGGCGGTGGCGGCGGCAGGGGCGGGGCGACGTGAGCGCGGTCGCGTGCGCGAGCTCGCGCCCGACTACGCTCTGCACCGGCGGGGGATAACGTGCGCGGTCCCACGTTAGGGCCACCCGTGGGAACGTGTTCGGGAGATGCCGATTGCAGACGTTCCCCTCCGTTGTTGGGGCATCCCGTAATCGTTTAGCTGGAATTGGTAGTCACAAACTCCGGAACCGATCCTAGAACAGGCCACCGGGATAGGGGAAGGAAGCCTTCGATTCGGTAGTGTAGCCTTAGGAGTGGCGTCGCGGGAAACAGAGGTGAGAACTAAGGTTCCGCCTGCGCGCCCACCTCCTCGATGTTGTGCTCTAGGAGCTCCCAAAGAAGCCTGGGATCCCTGCAGCTGTTGTTTGAGAGTTTGGCTTGAAGAAATAAAATGGAGTCACTCTAGTCGACTGCTAAATTACTAAAATCAAGTAGGCTGAGTTATGAGGAAGTGATTCTATTTTTGTTTTTAACTGGCCTGCAAACAAACTTTTGAAACTTTCCAGTCCTGCAAAAATGCCTAAATATACATTGAACTTTCCGACAAACTTCTGATAACCCCCTGAAGGGCAAGCACAAGAGTGTTCACTTCCCCAGACCACCAGTCATCTAGAGGATTAACCATCCAGAGGCTATGGATGCAGGACTGAGTCATCTCAAAATGTACTTTTTACTACAAGAACCCTCGGCTCCTTTTTCTTCCCCTGCCCAGTTGTATTTGTGGTTAAAACTTTAAGACTCTTGCATAAATATCTTTTATCCCTAGCCAAAGACTCCGGATTTCATTTATGCCCAGCCGACGGGGCTCTACCTTGAATGATAATGAAAAGTTGGGAGATGGGATCTTCATTGGCCCAAACTGCCTGATTAATTGGTCAAGTCACCTCTTCTCTGTACCTTGTTTTGCCTGCCTGCAGGACCCCCCATCTCTCAGTAGGGCCCTAGTTCCTGGTCCTCAGCGTGATACTCCTTCCAAGTTCAATAGCCTTTGTCACTGTGCTTTCCAGACATTGTGAAGTGAAACTAAAAAGTAAGCGATAGTCCTATCCTAACAAACTTATAAAACTCAAAATCTATACCATGATTATAATAGTTAATGAGTAATGTGTCCTAAATATTTTTTTATAAAAAACTATGTTCCTTTAGTACTCAAAACACTGTACTAAGCACCATTAAATGGTACAAAATGTTCTGAAGAATGGTTACTGACCCTTTGGGATTCGGCTTTAGACAGGTGGGCAGGGGAGAAGGGTGGGCAGGATGAGAGAATAATGAGAAAAGGCAGGAGGATGAGAAAGTTTGGATCAGGTTTCAACAAACATTGTTTGAGTGCTGTCAAAATTCATTAAAAAAAAGAAACCAACAAATCACTTAATAAGTTTTGCTTATGACTTTCAGAGGTATAGATAAAAGTGACCCAGGTCAAGTTAGCTTCATTTGCCTTGCAAAATGAGCTAAATTTGCTTTTCTTGTATGACTAAACTGGTTTTGTCTGCTCGGGGAATTTTCAAGTCTGGTGTCCGTTTCAGTTTGATTTTAACAGTATCCAGATGTACCACTCTTAGTCCCTGCCCTTGAGGCATTCACAATTCAGGCTAAGGGTGACTGATGAACAAATTCTTGTAATTGAAAGAGGGTGAAGAGATTAGCTAAAGAACATATATGCCAAATCATAGATACCAGCCACAGTGTGGTGTCGACGAGAGGGAAGGGGGTGGGAAATCGGTGGAGTCGGGAAAAGGTGCGGGAAATGGAGGCATCTGTATTAATGTCAAAATAAATTTTTTTTTTGGCAATCAAAAAGTGTTAACTTATTGAATCTCATACTGTTTAGGGGACGTAATTCTTACTACTTTAAGTAGGTAGAGTGATTTCCACATTAGTCATAAGAAATCAGCAGGGAATGATTAAGCACAGTTAACCTGAGAAGGGAAGCCAGGTAGAGAGGCTGATAGGAGAAGCTGTGAAGCAGAAAAGCTAATAAGGAGAGACACCTCTCATGTTCAGAAGCTGCCCTGGTACTACTCACAGCTAAGCCATGTTGTTCTCCTATTAGACAGAAATCATCTCATGAAACACCAAACTCAAACAAGGTAATTCTGAAACATGATGAAATAAGATCAAGCAAAGCATTCCATAAGTTTACCTAAACACAGACAAAAATAAGATCAACCATAAAATACAAACATCCCTTTTCTTGACCAAAATGAGTGATTACTACCTCTTTACCATTACAGCTTTCTTCTCCTGCTAGTCTTCTCTCCCTACACATAAGATTCATTAAGATCGTAAGAGTTGCCCTGGCTTTCTGACCCCATGCACTCCAGAGCAAATCCCTGCTTCCTTGGCCTCTTCTTCAACTCACCACCCGAAGTTCAAATTCTATAATAGCTTCTTCCTGAACACCTTCTTATGAGCACAGCCCATGGTTCCCCAGGGTGTGTGTTCTTCTTCGCAGCCACAAGGAACAAGTACCACCTGGTGTGCTACAGGTGCCTTTCTACAAGTCTCTGGCTGCAGGGCGTTGACACTTGGAAACATTTGGTATCTTGAGGATTCAATGAAAACTCCCACACTATCAGGATCTGGCAACTTTGAGTAAACAGATCTTTTACACTTAGTGTTCCCATTTAAGCATTTCTTAGGAATCCTAGGGAACTGTATATATACTTTTTTAATCTCAAGAAAAATCACCTGAGAAATCAGAAAGACAGGAGAAAGTATTATGAACCTGCTACAATTAAAGTTTAGCAATCAACATAGAGCAGTTACAATTCAAATAGATCCACTAACAAATTGAACACGCTAGCAGAGCCAGGGAGAAGAGCAGGCAGGAGAAAAGTGGTCATGTTCTTGTCAGTCTCTCTTGTGGTTGCCAGGTTGTACATCTGTTCATAGTCATGCTGCTAACAGGGAGTCATTCCTGCAAATAAAGTAAGTACTGTACATGTGTATAGTATACTTTTTAAATAATCTTTAGTCTACTACAGTTGTCTCAATTTTCCCCCTTTGCCCTCCTCCACCCATCCCACCCCACCCCCCTCTCCCACAGTTAACTCCCACTCTGTTGTCCATGTCCATGGGTCACTCATATATGTTCTTTGTTTTGTCCTTTCTCCTTTTTTCCACCATTGTCCTCCTTCCCCATCCCCTCTGGTCACTTTCAGTCTGTTCCATGTTTCCATGCCTGTGGTTTATTTTGTTCATTAGTTTATGTTGTTGAAAAGATTCCACTTATAGGTGAGATCATATAGTATTTGTCTTTCACTGACTGGCTTATTTCACTTAGCATAATATTCTTCAGTTCCATTCATGTTGTTGCCAAAGGTAGGAGTTCCTTCTTTCTTTTCTTTTTTTTTAATGCAGATTGATTTTATTTATTTTTTAATGTCAAAATCCATTATAAAATATTAAAAAATTTAAATCCATTATAAAATCTCAGCAATTAAAACAACATGACACCAGCACAGAAATAATCAAATAGATCAATAAAATAAAATGACCATTCTAGAAACAAATGTATCTGTCTAACAATGTAATATATAATTAAATTGATATTTCAAATCAATGGGGAAAATAAGGCTAATTCAACAAATAAGGTGTATGGACCACTATTACTTGAAATAAAACAAATATAGAGCCCTATTTCACACATTATACCAAAAAAATATTCAGGTGAGTTAAAAATCAATATGTAAAATCTAAGGAGTTTTAGGAGAAAATACAAAATAATATTTTTCTTACCCTGAAGTCAAATATTCAAACCCAGAAGCTATAAGGTAAAATGTTGAAATGTGACTATATTAAACATTTAAGACTATATAGTAATATACATATAAAAAAGTTAAAGGACAAGTAAAAGAACAGGAAAGTATTTGCAACACATCTAAAAAAGGGTTTATAGTTTTGTTTTTAGGGAAAAAAATCTACAAACATTTAATCAAACAATGGATAAAGAATAACAAAAAGTCACTTAAAGCTTTTTAAAAACGATATAGGCAAGACACATACAAAAACAGGTTTAGTTTCAACAAACAATAAAGTAACAGCACATCATTGTCACAATTAGATTAATAAGTATTAAAAATATTGGTAATATTAAGTATTGGTGACTGTGGAAGGAATTGGGTATTCGTAGACTCTTTTTCTTCATCTTAAAGCAGTCCCTTTAGCATATTTTGCAATGCTGGTTTGGTGGAGGTGTATTCTTTTAGCCTACTTTTGTCTGGGAAACTTCTCATTTCACCTTCCGTTTGAATTGAGAGCCTTACTGGGTAGAGCAGACTTGGTTGCAGGCCTTTGCTTCTCATTCCTTGGAATATTTCTTGCCACTCCCTTCTGGCTTGCAGAGTTTCTGTTGGGAAGTCAGATGCTAGCCGTGCCGGGGCTCCCTTATATATTGCTACCTCTTTCTCCCTTGCTGCCTTGAGGATTCTCTGTTTGTCTTTGATATTTGCCATTTTAATGATGATGTGTCTTGGAGTGGGCCTCATTGGGTTCCTCTTGAATGGAACCCTCTGTGCCTCCTGGACTTGTGTGACTTTTTCTCTCCTCCAATTAGGGAAGTTTTCCATCATTACATTTTCAAACCATTTCTCTATCCCTTGCTCCTCTTCTTCTCCTTTTGGTATCCCTATTATATGGATATTATTACATTTCCCTAAATGCCTCTTCATTCTTTTTGAGTCTTTTTTCGTTTTCTTCCTCTTTCTTGGAGCTTTTTTCTACTTTATCCTCCTACTCGCTGATTCCTTCCTCTGCTTCATCTAGCTGCTTTTGGTTCCTTCTACTGTGTTCTTCAATTCAGCAATTGTGTTCTTCATTTCCTCTTATCTCTTATTGACAGTTTCTATGTCCTTTTTCATGCTGATATAGTTTGCTGTAAGTTCCTCATAGTTTCCCTATAGTTTTTGGTAATTCTCTCTGAGCTCATTGAGCTTCCTTAGAACCGTTGTTTTGAACTCAATATCTGATAGTTTACTTGCCTCTGTTTCATTTAGTTCTCTTTCAGGGGATTCTTCCTTTCCCTTCAATTGAGGGAGGGGTGGGGTGTTTCTTTGTTTTCCCATTATTTGTGAGACTCTTCTTTTTTTTTTTGCTTCTGCTTCTTAAGTTGATCTGTCTTGATTTACTGACTTTGTGGTGTGAACTTCTGTGGTAGGAAACTGCTGTTTTTTTATTTTAGATCTGCCTCTGATGGTGTCAGATATCA